TAATAGGAAATTAAATCCTTCTAGGAAAGGGAAATAAATTTCTCTCAAAGCCTATTTAAGTCCACCTTAAGTGGGTTATTAAATCAACTTTGGATGGCGATTTATTCTACCCTACAAGAGAGAGAGAGCTTAGAGGATATTTGTTCCCCCTCTTCTAGCAATCTTCTACATCTTGCCCGTGCAAAAGATTATCTTTCGTTGCTTTCTTCGTCTTCTCTGCGCTACACCGAGGTAAGAAAAAATTAATTTTCCTTGTCTTTTTCTTGGATAGTGTTGTCCCGAGGCAGCCGTCAAGGTGGTACGACACGTCGGCTGACAGGGGCCAAGAACCGGCTCGGATTGGGCCTAGAAGGTGTTGTGGCAAGGACCACTGCTTGGGTTGCTCGGCTTGGTTAAAGCCAAGGGAAACTTATGTGGCTGGGGCCGCGGATTGAAGCGCTGAGGCGCAGTGCTAGGCGAGCTGCATGGTTTATGTCCTTTGGGTTCTTGGACTTGACGGGGGCCAGGCCGGCGATTGAGAGAGATGAGGAAGTCGAATGCCTCATGGGCTTCTGGAATGTTGGGCATGCAGGCCTCCTGCCTGTCTGAGAGAAAAAATAAGGAAAAAACTAGTATGGGTTGAGTTCGCTTGCTGAGTACCGTGAATAACGTTAGCTACTTAGTTCTCTTCGTTGGGAGAAATGTGGGTTATTCCCGAGAGAAAAGGTAAAGAAGATCAAGGTGGATACTTTGGCTCGTCTGATCACTATCGTGGAGGCTGCTGTGAATGAAGGTGGAAAGAAGAGATTTTCCCTGTCTGTTCAAGAGATGTTGGTTAAGAAAAAACTGAAGACTTCTTCCGTTGTGCGTGAGGGTCCACTTATTGTTGAGAGGCTTATGATTGACATGACTTCTTCCAATTGGAAGAAAAATGAGGCTGCTAGATTTGAGCCTATGGTGTCTGCTATGTTAAGAATGGCTAATTCAATTGCTGATAGTATTGCTCAGTATAAAGGTCTTGTTATGCCCCTAGTGCCGAAGTCTGTGCCAAGACGTCTGTTGGGAGCTAACTACAGTTCTCATTCGGAAAGACTTGCTATTATGAAGAGCGATAAGGTGGACTCTGCTGCTAAAGTGGTGCTAAAGCCCACTCCCTCTACTGTTGAGACTGATTCGCCTGTTGGGAAGGAGGAGACTGCTCACATGGGCAGCTGTGAGAAATCCACTAAGCTTGCTTCTGAGGAAGCTGCTGAGATCTGTGTGCTCTTGAAACCATATCTGCTTGAAGATATGGACGTTTGTGCCAAGTTTGTTAATGGCATTAAAAAGGTTTGTTTGCCCAAGTTCATTTGTGAAGCATACGACCCAATATAGAAGGACTGCTCTACTTGCTATGATGTATATATAGCAAGGGTGCCAAGGAGGTGGTGAAGACTATAGCAGCTGAAGTTTATTTCTCGACAGAGGAGATCAAGAGGATAATATTTCTGCCCCCACTTCTCTATAGCTTGAGACCGCTCGCCAAGAAATCGTTAACTTGAAGAGTAGGCTTGACGCGATCCAAGTTAAGTATGAAAGTGCAGAGAAGGAGATTGGATGTTACATACCTCAGATTCAAGATCTCGAGTTTGCAATTTCTGAGCTTCATTTTGCTGTTTAGCCTTTAGGATTTTCTTTGTTTTTCCTTGTAGCTCTTGTTTTTCTTGAACTCCTTCGGCCTTTGCAAGTTGTTTATAAACATGCTTCCTTCGCTTTTCTTCATATTCGCTTCTTTTGTTCATACCCTAACCTTTAGACTTTATAGAGCAGTGGCAAGCGTGCTACTTTTCTATAAGAAGCCAGGCCCAAATAGCTTATGCAGCTGTAGGTGTTGATGTAGAACTTTGCAAAGTTGTTAGCCATAGGGTTGACAGCTGGATGCCTTACATACAGAAGTAGACAAGTCCGCGTAACCACTAGGTTGTTAACCTTGGCTTTCTCTAATTCTGTAGGTTGTGTAGTAAGTATCACAACATTTTAGGATTTGGTGTAAGTTGTTTCGCGCTTGGCAGAGGTGAAGCTTATTGACTACGTAGCATGTCGGCAGTGGATAAAGCTTCGTATATGCACGTTAACTTGTTTAACCTTTCACAAGAATGTGCGGTTGTATAAGTCTAGCGTGGCTTTATTGCTCGAAGGGCAAGCCTTAGGCAATCTTCTGGAAACCATAGGCTACCTTAGTGCACTTGATAACAGCTTTAGGGTTCCAGGGCAGCCGTCCATCAGATGTACTGCATAATATGCCCCCTCCGTCTCTAGGGCTTGGTTCCCCATGGATTAGGCCAAGAGACACAAATTCCTTCAGTTAGCTAAGCCTTGAAAAAGACCATTGTGGCTACTTCTAGGAATCCTAGCGCAAGCTATCGTGCATCTAGTTATACTAGGGCAGCCAAGCTCATCCACGTTTGGATATTCGGAGTGTAGAGTTTATCTTCTTGTCTTAGGAATTGACCTATATAGGTGTCGGGGAATTGGTTCACCCTCTCGCACTGGAGAGCATGGTTGGTCCCTAGAGGGGTGCAATTCCTACGATGAGTCCCTAAAAAGGGCGCGGTCTTCTTTTGAAGTGCATGAGTGATCAATTGTTGTAAGCATATAACCGAGCCAAGTTGTGATTACTTCTGAATTCCTCATTGAAAAACGAGTGAAACGAACGAGAACTTAGCTGTAAGGTAGGAACTGCATAACAACTGGATAGTCCTCGACTTGTGAGGTGGTGCCCGTCGAGCTACATGAGTCTTTGGGCTTTAATGTAGTGGAAGGTCACACATGGCACTTCCTTAGATTGTAGGCGATCCACTGCTTTTCGATCTTTTTGTCATTTCATGGTGGCGAGGATGTAATTACTCTTGTCACTTCCCATATGGGATCCATCTTTTTGGAGCCTTCTCTATAGGCAGTGATGAAGGCTTTTCTTAAGACTAGATCTTCGGGCTAGAACTGTCGGATCTTAGCCTTTTTGTTGTAGTTGGAGAGGAGCTGCTGCTGGTAGGCTGTGATGCGGGTGATGGTCCGCTCGCACTTTTCCTCTGCCAGATCTAAGCTTATGGCCATCTTCTTATTGTTCTGCTCAATGCTTGGTAATAGAGAGATGATACTTGGCTTGATGACATTAGGATGAATGATTGCTTCTGAGCCAAATGCTAAAGAGAAATGAGTCTCACCGGTTGCTCGTCTTTTGGTGGTGCGATATGCCCATAGACATCCGGGGAGTTCATCTGGCCATTTTCCCTTCTTGTTGGTGAGGGATTTCTTGAGGCAGTCGAGGATCATCTTGTTGGATGCTTCGGCCTGCCTATTGCCTTGAGGATATCTCAACGTGGATATGTACTGCTTGATGCCATACTTTTGGAAGAACTTTGCCATATCTTTGCCCACGAATTGCGGGCCGTTGTCAGTGACGATGGATTGAGGAATGCCAAATCGGCATATGATGTTCCTCCATATGAAGTGCTTTATGTTCGTTTGAGTCGTGGTCATCTTGGGCTCTACTTCTACCCATTTAGTGAAGTAATCGGTTGCCACGATCATCATGCCTTTGCCCCCCAGTAGCATGCGGCATAAGTCCTACCAGGTCGATTGACCACTGCATGAACAGCCAAGGACTCATATGCGGGTGTAGCTTGCTGGCAGACAATACTGGTATCGGCTTGTAGCGTTGGCAGCAGTCGTATTTTTGTACTAACTCCTTAGTATCTTGGTGCATGGTAGGCCAATAGTAGCCTGCGTTAAGAGCCTTATGTGCTAAGGATCGACCTTCGAAGTGATTTCCACAAACACCTTCGTGGATTAAGCTTAGAACCTTTAAGTCATCGGAAGACGCTAGACAGCAGAGATGTGGTTCGGTGTAGGATTTTCTGATGAGAATGTTGTTCCACATATAGCAGCATGCTGCCTTGATTTGGAGCTTCCTAGACTCTAATATTTTCATGGGGAATGTGTTATTGACTGGGTAGTCTACAATGGAATCTTACAAATTTGGAGTTGTACTAACTTGTGACACCTCAGCTGCTAGCTTCACCTCTATGCTTGGCTTGTCTAGATATTCCTTCAGGATAGATCGTTTAAGTTTGTGGTCGAGGGCAAAGCCTAGGCCGGCTAGTGCATCCACGTGAGCATTGTCTGCCGTTAAGTCTTTTACCATTCGAAAGCCTGCTAGTAGGGTCTCATACTCTGTTTCGTTTGTTAGGTACTTTGAAGCCTAGAGTGATCGCCTGTTCGGGTATCGTATCGTCTGGGGTGACAAGGACTACGCCTGTTCTCGAACCTTTGTAGTTTGGATGAGCCGTCAACATGCAAATGCCAGAAGTCTCTATCGGGTAAAGCAGGTGCAGCTAGGGCATGGTCGACTACCTTTAGGGCGTCGTTGGGCCACTATTGCGTTGTGAATGCATGGAAGGGAGTTGTGAAGCTGGGGCCATATTACACTTAGTAAGAGATGCTCAACTACCGGTATTGGACCATTCTAGAGCTAAATTATGGAGCAAGAGTTGGCTAAGGACGTGTGACGTGCAGCAGGAGGTAGTGCTCAACTGCCGGTACATGTTGCATATATGTAGAATCTTTTGGGGCAACGAGGCAAAACTTGCTTTCAAGTGTGTCTTTCCAATGTTCGTCTGCCCTTGGCGTGTCTTTTGGGCCAGGTTGTTACATTCGTCAGAAAACTTTGCATCCACCAGGGTCTAGGCCTTTATCGTCGCGCGTATAGATTGGGTAGAATAATGCGTCATGAGGATGACTGTGTGCGTTTAAAGGTAAAACTTAAGCTTTTGGGTTGCAACAGCTATCGCCAAAGTTAGCTTTTGAATGGTGGAATAGAGGTAGTCAAGCCCTTAGCTCTTCTCGTATGATTGTAAAGCTTATTGATGCTTCAGATATTGTCAAACATATGAATAAGTTCTCCTATACTTCTGGTTTGGATAGTAGGGAGGTGATGTCGGGTACTTCTTCAAGTCCTTGAATGTGCATTGGCGAGCCTCGTCCTAAAGTGCATGCTTCTCTACCAAAGTGAAAAAGTTTACTAGAGTTAGATCTTCTTTCATGATCAATTTTTCGAACAACGAGTGGTCTGCTGGAAGTCCTTTTTGGAAGGCTGCTTTAGCTATCGAGTTGTTGCATCCGACTATCCTTGCCTTCTCTTCTTTGAACCTCTTCACATAAGCACGAAGCGACTCTTTTGGGTTTTTCTTGACTTTAAACAAATGGTCGGACTTCTTTTTGATCGAGCAATAGGATGAATATTCTTTGGTGAAAACCAAAGAAAGTTCGTCGAAACTCCGGATAGATTGTGGCGGCAGGGCGTAGAACCAATCTTGTGCCTCACCTTGGAGAGTGGTGGCGAATATCTTGCACATGAGATCGTCATTGTTTCGATAGAGGATCATTACTCTTCGGTAGTGTTTTAAGTGTCTCTTTCGGTCTTCATCCCTTTTGAAAGATGTGAAATGTGGCATGCTGAACTAACATGGAGGCTCGGCCTGCTCGATCTTGTCTGTGAAGGGTGACTTGCTTATGTTGGTCATCTTCTGTCGTAATGCCTCGTCGGTGACCTCGTTGCGTTGGAAATTGTGTAATCGCTTGGTCAAAAGTTTCTTTACTTTTTCTTGAATTTGTCTTTGTTAGGGTAAGGAGCTCTCAGCTGCCCCTAACCGTGACTTGCTGGTCTAGGCTGCTCTTCCACGTGTTTGGCTCGTCTATGCCGTGGATGCAGTGTGTGTGGTGCATTCCTAGCAAGCGAGCGAGTACTTCGCAGGCTACCGGTTGAACCTGAGCCTAGATTGAGTGACTGTTTATCTCCGTCCGTCGTTCTGCTTACTCTGATGTAAGGGGAATGATGCTCTTTGTAGGCTTAGCAGCGAATGAACACTTCGCCTAAAAGGTTGCTCATGTTGACTATCAGAGTGTGACCACAACCATGAATGTACACTCGTCCGTGGGCTTAGTTGAGAGTGCACACTTTTTCGTGCAATAAGACGGGAGTATACGCTATCTCGATGGCCCAATCGGGAGTGTACACTGCCCGAACGCTCGGTTTGTGACTGCTTGCCGGGACGCTGCTGAAAAGGTTATTTGTTTGCCCTTGTCCTACTTCGAGACACCTTGTCTAGGGCACATTGCATCTTGGTGCGCTGTAAGAGCTGGTTCACCAAGGTTGTCTGCTGTGCGAGGGCGCTCGTCAACTCTATGACTTGTAGAGACAAGTATTTTTCTCCATTTGGGTTGGAATAGCTTGGAAGGAATGCGTCTCCTTAAGCAATGGAAGTGTGGTAGACTCCGGGCGCAAGATTTGAGTTAGGAAATGTCAAATCAGCAAAAACATGTGGTGAAAATGCTTCCAGTTCGATCGTCAGTCCAGAAATTTGGAGCTGGGACAGTTGAATGATAGGAGCATATTCATGCGACTTAAATGGCTTGTTCTCGTGCATTTACGTTATGTTTCTTTAGTTATTTTAGTACTTTAAGCTATTTTCGTGTGTTTGTAGGTCCAAAGGGCTAAAGGAGCAAAAAGATGCATTTTGGATACTTTTGGAGCACTTTTGGGCTAAGGATGGATAGCTTATGCTTGGAGCCAAAGTGTTGGACGAAATTGAAGACCTAATTGAAGACCAAAGTGTTGGAACCTTGTTCTCTTTAGTTCTAGGACATTTAAACCTTTCCTATATCCATTGCACATGCATTCCTTTAATCCACATTCATCACCACTTCAACACATGCATCCATAATCATCTATCCTACCCATGCCGTGCATCCCCTCACCAAGTAATCATTCAACATTTCAGAAATGAAGCCATTTCACATGCATATTCAACCTAGCTATCATTCCACTTCATTGCACATGCATCTTCATAAATCTACACATGCATTCACATGCTTTCACAACCTAATCCACATGCAATTGCATCACCCATTCACCACCAGAAATCACTCATTGCCGTGCACATTCACTCACCACAAACATTCCACATGCATTCATCAACATATCTAGTTGTCACTCACATGCATTTCCTTCATCATTTCCAACCTAGCATTCCCATTCTTTAATCCAATTCAGCCACTTAATCATTCAACCACATTCACACATCACACATGCACCCAAGCCACATGCACTCCTATCCATTTCATCATTGCAACCATTGCAGAAATTACAAACACTTTGCCGTGCATATCAACACATTTCAGCATTCCCACTCATCATAACCTAGCTGCACAAGCCACCCCACATGTCCCTTTAATCATTCAAACATACACTCCCATTAATTAAACCATTCAGCCACATTTTCACCAACAACAAGCCCATGCCGTGAGTTCCCTACATTTCTAGCATATTCACATGCATTCCATCCTTTAAAACAACCCACATGCACTTTAATCATTCAATCACACATCACCCATTCCCCTTTGTCGTGCAAAACATGCACATTCATTCACCTTTCTCCCAAAACCGTGCATATCATTCCCCTCACTCTTTGTTTATTTCAGCCACATATTCAACTCACATGCAATCCCTTTAATTAATTCAACCTAGCTTTAATTCACATGCACATCCAACACACCATTCACCCTAGTTCTAATCAGCCAACCCGTGCATTACTCATTCAATCAAGCACTCCACATGCACAAACCTCTCATTGCCGTGGCTACCCATCCCAATTCCAGCTTTCACATGCTTTCACATGCATTTTCAGATTGTCCCCTTGCACATGCAGCCACATATTCATTGCACATGCATTTCCAACCCACATGCATCCTTTAATCATTCAAACATGCAGCCACATTCCCTCCTAGCTGTCATGTTCCCCCCATTTCACCTATAAATAAGCATCCATTGCATTCATTTTAAGACACTCTTCCATATTCGAAAACACCACAGAAATTGGTCCCTTGGGGCCGTGCCCATCACACCATAATTCCATCCATTCCATCCATATTTCAGCCATCAATCCATTGCATCCATAATCCCCAAAACTCACCTTAGACCTTGTACTACAACAACGAGGAAGAGAAGAGTGCCTAAACGTTCATACAATTCAAGTTTGAGTTGTTGGAATGTTTAGGTGTTTCTTTGATTTCAATGTTTAAATTCAATTCTCTTTGTTTTGTACGTATGAGGAATGGAAGAGAAGAGTGCCTAAACGTTCATACAATTCAAGTTTGAGTTGTTGGAATGTTTAAGTGTTTCTTTGATTTCAAAGTTATGAGGAACTAAACCCCCCCTTGGCTAGGGGGGGATTCGAAATATATGTTTATGCTTGCATTTTGATTTGATTTGATTACTTCTAATTGCGTTTCATAAGTTGTGGATTCAATTTGTTTAACCGTTTGATTGATAACTTATTTATGTATGTTTATTGAGAATGCGCGCTTAATTTTCATGCATGAATATGACGCTAGAATATAAGTGAGTTTCACCTAATAGTTACGAACTTATATTCGCAAGTAGTGGAGGTTGCTTATAAACAATCGCGTTAAACGAATTCTTGGCATAAGTTTCATGCGTATTCCATAGTAACGAATGTCTCGTCAACACTTATAATTTTCATAGAGCGTAATGATTCTTGTTTGTATCTCTATTATGCAATCATGTAGGGGACTTGTGGGGAATGTTTTGGGTTGTCGTATGCAATCATCCAATTCAATAACGTTAGGAAGATTTGAAAGTTAATTTAAGCGGACCTAATTAACTTGAAGCGTTGAGAATTAATGGTTTATTGAAATGCAATTGGAAATCGTTTTATTATGCAAGTGTAACATGTATGGAGATGAACCCCTTAGCTATTCTATCATCCATTCATTCCATTTCATCAATTTCATATTTACATTCTGTCTAGTTTATTAACTTGTTTCGTTATTTCAATTTTCGTCAAATCCTAAATCCCCCTTTACTTTAATGTCCAATTTAGTTAGAAAGTGTATTAGTTTGTGTTTATAAGTGTTTTGATTCAATTTGTTTCACAAATTCGTCCAAATTCACCAAAGTGCTCAAAACTGCCCAGAAAGTGTTTTTAAGGCAGTTTTGAGTGTTTTGGGTGATGTTTGAGTCTTTTGGTTTGTTTTAGTGTTTCAAGCATTTAGTTTCGCATTCTTTGAGTCTAGTTTAGTGTTTTAAACTTTATTTTACGTTTTTGAGTCAGTTTCCAAGTGATTTGCAATCCCTCCTAATCCCCGGTTAAGAACGATCCCTACTTACATACTTACTACAATTGACAAAAAGAGGGTTTAATTTGTGTGCGTATAAATCTCGCATCAAATTTTGGCGCCGTTGCCGGGGATTAGCAACTTTGCTAATCTCTTGGATTGTTCATTTCTGTTATGTATTTTAGTTTTAATTTTTTATTTTTGTTTTGTTTGTTGAATTCAAGTACTAGAGAAGAACAACATGGCACTTGATAATGCTTCTCTTTTGTCACAGCTCATGGAACGGTCCCAAATGCAAAGCGTTGATATATTTGATCTTCAATCAAGGAATAATATGTTTTCCAATACTTACAATTCGGATTGGAGTGATCATTCAACTTCTATGTGGTGGGAACCTCAAAATGTTCAACAAGAAGGATATTAGCAGCCACCTCATATTCAATATGCCCAACCAAACTCAAGTTCGTCAATAGATTATAATCAAAAGCTTAATGAATTAATTTGTTTGGTGCAGGGCTCACAAAATCAAGACAATGAGGCTCAACAAGAAGACAAAAGGTTGGACCACTTGGAAATGCAAATTGGGCAGATCGCGGAGTTCGTAGGACAGTTTCGAGACCAAGGCGAACTCCCTAGTTCAACCATTGCAAATTCGAAAGGAGAATTTGAAACTGCCAAGGAAATCATGTTGAGAAGTGACAAGGAGGTTGGAACGGACCCTCAACCATCAAAATCAAATCACAAGGAAGAGGAATACACCCAACCCACGGAAATGGTGGAAACACCTTTACCGGAGGCACCTATTGCTCCTATGCCATCTAATTCGGGTATGGTTGTTCCAAATTTCATTATTTTTAACCCCATTCCAACAAGTATCCCTATTCCTTGCAGACTCATGACTTCCAAGGAAGAAGAAGGTGAAAAAGACATCTTGGAAGCCCTTCCAAAGGTGCAAAGTAGGGAATATCATGAATTCATCAAAGAGGACGTTCTTGAGGCAAACAACCCCAAAGAAGTTGAATTTTATGACACAAGACAAGGACCAATCCTCACATCAAATCTGTCCAAGGGCAAAGTTCCTGAAATGTTCAAAGAAGATGTGTTTATCCTTGAGTTCATGTCGGAGCACATAAGTAAGCCACCTCCTCCAATTTCAATTTTCTTTTATACTAACATGTTGTTAATGATTCAGGCATCCAATCTTGAATTTAAACCATTACCGGATCATTTCAAGTATCATCGCCCATTC